CCATACTCTAAGTATGGTAAAATCAATGAGGAATACAAAATACGTAGTGCTTTCCAGTCCAAAATATATCTAACCCTTGCCAATATCGATATATTTTTTGCTATTTTGTTCTGAACATATCTGATATGAGATTTCCAGGAGAATTTGTTATCAACTATGACACCTAGAAATTTAATTTCATATACTCGTTCTATATTAGCTCCCCCAATTTTCAATTGAAGTTTATTATCTAGTCTACGATTCCCAAATACCATAAATTTAGTTTTATCCAAATTCAGAGATACTATATTACTGTCACACCATTTCTTTATCTTCTCAAGTTCCTGTGAAACCCGTCCAGAGAGTTGCTGTAGGTTTTCACCCGATGCCCATATGGTAGTGTCATCAGCAAACAAAACCACTTTCACTAAATCAGAAACCTTGCATATATCAATAATGTATAATATAAATAATTTAGGTCCCAAAACAGAACCCTGAGGCACTCCACATACAATATCCAGCTCACTCGATTGGTATTCACCCAACTTCACAAATTGACGCCTCTGTGTCAAATAACTTCTAATCCATTTCAGAACCATTCCTCTGATCCCATATTTTTCTAACTTGTCCATTAATAATTCATGATTGATTGTGTCAAATGCTTTTTTTAGGTCAATAAACATCCCCATCGTGTATTCTTCTCATCCATAGCACTTGTAATGTCCTCCATCAGGTCGGTAATGGCCAAAGATGTCGATCAGTTCGACCTAAAACCATATTGGCAATCAGAGAGGATTTTATGTTTGTCAATAAATGTATCTAATCTGTTATTAAAGAGTTTTTCCAGAATAATACTGGCGAGTTCAAAACCACAGGCAGCAGCTGCAACACTAAAGAGACAAAGGTTGCCGTGATTCAACAGATTCTGCTCATTTACTGTCTTTTATACTGTTTTGTTCTGGTTATTTTATAAGCTGTCTTTCTTAACATACTTTAACTAGGTTTTCTTTCACATTTTGCATTGACACATTACTGCTTTGTTCATTAATTCCACTAAGTTGTTGTAGCAGTGCCATTTGATCACATATATCACTGAAAAGCCCTTTTTCTAGGAAGAGTCACATGTGCACTACCAGTTAAAGGTTTGGACACACTTATTCAATTCAATGGGAAACAGTGTCCAGACCTTTTAGTGGTAGTGTATATATACACACACACACACACACACAGAGTGTTATACATTGCACAGAAACAGCCTGGGCGCTGGTGGCGATGCAAAATGAAACTTGGGACAGTTGTGGCCTAAAGGGCAGAGAAGCGAGCCTGTGACCGAAGGTCACCAGTTCAATCCCCTAAATGGCAGGATTAAATCTGGGTGGGACAGGCTGACAAAGCACGCTTGCCCCACCCTCATAACACCTGGAGCAAGGCCCTTAACCCCAGCTACTCCGGTGGAGCTGATCGGTGGCCACAGGCCAGTCTGTGGTTGGTGCTGAGCAGCTTCCAGGTGTGAAAGTTTAACCGTGTGAATATGGACAGGACGTTCCTAAAAAAGAGAGGTGGCCACTCAGTGACCCTACCCTGAATAAATAGAGGTTAAAAAAACAGTCCTCTAAATGGCATCACATGCATGTGAAGGAAACCACCGAAGTATTAGCTCCTGGGGCTGCAGCTGGTTTATATCAACAAACATGAGCTGCAGTATCATCCTGCAGTCACCACATGACTTACCATCCTTTCCCATAATCAGTGTCTTCTCCTCAAAGAAGAACAATACTGCACTCATAGGAGCTACTTTCACTGCTGGTAAATGAAATTATAACCAACCCCCATTTTGATGAAATACTGTAGCCTGGTGAGACTAGTTATCTCAGATCAAGAATCAGTCAAACAGAAACTGACAGTGCACATATCTGCAGTGCAGCGTTTATGCCCAGTGCAAGCTGGCATAGAAAGCACCCTGATCTCCCTGTGCTGCTGCCACCACCCCTCCTCCTCCTGGAGGCTGGTGCATCACTCAGCTCTTTATTCCCTACTCCCCTCTACACACACAGACAAACC